TCATGATCCAGTGTCGCAAGGTTTACTTTTAGGTTGTGCATTTGTATACAGTGTTATTTTTAATGCACTCTATTAATATAATAGTATCTCTACATAATGCATTCACGTGTTGGAATTCTCAGCATGTTCAGATTATGTGGACGTGAGCACCGACTGGCACATTATGGCATGCTAAGCGATCCTTGTGAGGGCAGTTTCCTCCCTCAGAATTTTGATATTGCATTTTTATTTTCCTTGCTCGGGGTTGGGTCAGTGAGTGGCGGCCAGTTTGCTGAAGGCTTGGCAAGGTAAGTTCGTGAGGCCTCTTATGTGTTTCCAATGGGCTTTCAGTGCTTTATGCTCTGTATTTTATTAAGTTGAATACTGTACTGCAGTATATGCAATAAAAAAAGTAATTATTTTATAATTGAATGTTGTCCCTTGGGAAATTCTTGTGATGATGAGATATGAAAACAAACTTGAGTTGACCTGACACTGCCTGCATACTGTAATTGTTTTCACATCTTTTTTTTCTTCTGCATCAACCTAGTTTACGGGGTTCACCCAAAGTTTCATATACCCTTATATTGTCTTCATCTTTATCAATAATATCAATAATAATTCTCATTATTTTCAATCATTTCTCTGCAAACACAAGCGTTCTCCCGCTGACTGCTCCGGAGAAAAGATTGAGAAAATGTAATGAATATGTATAGTGCATTTCTGTGTGTGTGTGTGTGTGTGTGTGTGTGTGTGTGTGCGTGTCTTCTGTACCTATATAACATGCACCTCTCTCCCATCGACCAATGTCCTTCGTTCATGCAAAAGTAGGTTAGCTGACACTGCAGTTACCATGGCAACCGGCTCTTTGCTTCCTTGTTGAACAGTAGTTAGAGAATGTGAGTGTGTTCTCACAGACAATGTGCATGGTGGGGGGTGCTAACAAGGTCATTGAGTCTGTAGGTCAATTCATACAGCATGTAAAAAAAGTTGTATGTGTTTTATTTTGCTTTTTTTCAGTGGGAATGTGACATTGAATCAGAATACATTCTATATACAGTGAGTAATGTACAAATATCTTTAGGCCATAGGTTAAATGTACGCGTTTCCATAGAAGCTAATAACATAAATCTGAAATATAAGGAGAAAAAATAGAAGTATCAACATCATAATCTTCCTATAATGCCTTGATTTCATCCTTGAAAAGTTCAAAAGAGACCACATTTTCAATTTCTTCTTTCAGGGTTTGAGTCTCCTCGGGGCACATGAAAAGCATGAGGAAGTTTGCTTTTAAAGATTTCGCTGCAAATTGAAGTTACCCTAACTTCATTACACCAGGCAGCAAATTAGGCCTCCACTGACTGCTATCTTCTGTGAGCTACAGTACTTTGATGTGGTGCTGAGGGAGGGTTAAGCAGGATATAGGCACACTGTGACAGCTGCTGTACTCCTGAATCTTAACAACTCTGATCTCCAACATGAATGCTTGTTGACCGTAGAGACTCAAGATATATACTGCTGATGAATACATTTATTCATGGGACAAGTAATCATAACTCCAAATCTTATTTGTCCAGCGCATAAACAAAAGCAGACCCATAAATAAATTTAAAACAGGAACGCAGTACATGGAGACAATGTATTGAGTAAACTAGAAATGTACAAAAAACAAATTTGAGGCAGTCTTCCACATTATGCCTATTTTTAGTGTTGAAAGAAAAGAAAGGCTGAGTGAATGTACATGTCAAAACAACGTATTCTTTAAAGTTTATTTTTCCATCATAAATGCTGTTTTTCATAACTCAAAAATGTTGTTTTCATTATCAGATGTACAGTATTTGTTAAATACATATATGCATATTGTTTGTTTCTTTGCTGCATCCTTCTAATTAATGCTGCAACAACCACATTTCTCCACAGGGATCATGCAGTGTGTCAAGGATATGTAATCCTATACTATTCTATATTAATGTAGCTTTATTAAATAATCCCTTATCTCATCATATCTGATCTTGTTTAATCTTTTTTGTCACATTATGCCTCATGTATCTCAGTCTGCCTCACTGTAGTGTCTCATATATCATGTGTCCCATTATCTCAACATATATCCTATCTTTTTATATCCCATTTCACCCCTGCAGATTCACTTGCATGTGTTTTTGTGTTACAACATCCATCACAGTAAATACAGGTTTGGCTTAATGTGTGTTTTTGTCCGGTCGGTGACAGAGCAGCCATCATTCTTTCAGCAGAACTCATCAGTCTTCTTGTTATCCTGTCCTCATCCTCTCTTTATCCACTCTTCTCATCTAATCTCTTCTCCTCTCATCCTCCTTTTCAGTCAGGAAGCCCCTGGATCGACATCAATGAGCCGCTCAAAGCAGGAGGGAGACAGAGAGACGGAGCGCGAAGAAAGAAGAGAGAGAAGAGGATGGAGAAAGAGAGAAGGAGAGAGAGCGACAGAGAACGCGAAAAGGATGATGAGAGGGTAACCAAGAAGGAGAAAGACGATGGAGATACA